GCTGGAACCCCTAAATTCCCCCCCTGTATACAGGCTTGTCGTATACTGTCTGCCGGAATGATGGTTTATTGATATGAAAATAATGATAAGTTCCCGGATTTCAATACAAAGTGCATCTTTTTCTGATTGATCATAGAAAATGCTTTCCAAGTATAAAATTCGTTTCATGTACCGGTGTTTCAAAGCTAAACATTTTTTTTTGCATATATCGRTGTTTTTATGTTTTAAGAGCATTTTTAGCATTATTGGGTCATTTTTGAGGGTTTTAATGCATATTCGTTCAATAAACTACMCAAATTTAGCGTATTTATTAATATACATTTTAGTATCTATGTTTAGAATGAATAATATTGCCCCAAAACATATGCKTGTCAATATCATAGCAGCATCAAGTCAATTTTTCCAWTGTTTTGTTTTTTTCAATAAAGTAATAAATATATTTTAATAATAAATTCCAAATTAAAATAACAAATTGTATAAAAAATAAATATAAATGCCATTTTTAAGGTAATTTTTTGAGGTGGAATACATTTTTTAAGGACATTTTTGGCTATTTTTAGAGCATATTTTGTATGGCTTTAAGTAAACTAAAATCCAGTCCCTAATAATAATGATATTAACTAAAATTGTCTAGTTTGATAGTATAGAAATTTTCAACCATCTATTCTTAATTAGTAATTTTTTTAATATAGTATATTTTTATATATTATTTTATTTTATCAATATTTTCATTTTTCTACATAAGAATCAACAATTTATTAATGCGGTGTCGTGTAGTAAATTTAATATTCTTATAATACTCACATTACATTACTTGTTTCAATATTTCCAGTACATTTAAATCGAGCCATTTCTTTCACACCACCTGACAAATACAACTTTCAACAAATGTACGAATGTACCTATTTATTAAATGCACAATACTCGTCAYGATTACCGCACCTAAAGGCGTTCATAAAATATAATTTATTTATATCAATGTTTTTATACCATATTGCCAGTATAGGAACTATCTACTGTCTTTCCCAAAATTAAAGTAGTTAAAAGATAAACGAAAAATAACGAAAAATAATAATCACGAATTACAATTTATGATGACGGCTGGATTACGAAATAATCTAAAACTATGTAGGTAGGTTCCTACCTATTATTGTCCATGTGGAGACTCAAATAATAAGTTTAATCAGTGCTCCCTAGTTGTTTGTACTTGTATGTTGTTCCGTAACAAAAATGTCCAAAAGAAAAATAACAGGTTTTTGATCACAGAGTAAAATAACTAAAACTCCAGAGCCCCAAGATTCTCATCTTGAAATGATTGACACGGATTTAGATGAATTGCCTACACCTACCTCTACAACAAATGTTAAAGGAAAAATATTTTATARTAAGAAATGGGAAATTGATTTTCCGTGGCTTCATTTTGATGTTCAACGTAATGGAGCTTTTTGCAAATTGTGTGAAAGACATGCTGTAAATGATTCCGTATTATTGACAAGCACATCAGGAGGAGTTTTCATTAAATCACCATTTAATAATTTAAAAAAAGCACTGGGAAAAGACGGTAAATTAAATAAACACAACAATTCTGCATCACACGTTCGCATTAAATACCTAGAGCAAGAAAGACTGACTTTGGTATTCTCAAAAAATCCTGTTTATTGCCAAATTTTAAATCAAATAGTTCCAAAGAATGGAAAATCCATAGATAAAATTTCTCTCTCTTATGTCGCTCAATTTATTTTTCGGTTAAAGAACATAACCAAATATGAACCTTTAGTTAAGCGTTTAATTATGAAAAATAGTGCATCATTTAAAAATTGGACCGTCACAAATAGTGATGGATCTACATTTATTAGCAAATCTACAGCTATTAAGCTTTTATGTTGTGCATCAGAAATATTATGTAAGAAATTAAATAATAAGGTATTGGAAAATAATTTTTTTTAATGGCCTATGAAAGCACAATTAA